CCCTTCCGTCTTTTCTAACAGCCATTGACTGACAAAAACTTCCCTTTGCTGTTTTAATAACAATCCATAAATTTGGATATGCTGTTTTTATTTTCGTTCAATTCAAAGTACTTTTAAATTTCCTTTTGGTTTCTTATCTGACCTCCAAGTTACATAGAAGTGAGTTACTGAGCTTCCAAAGGTTTGAGAAATTTCCAGAAGGACTTGTTATTTATTAGTGATTTAATCCTATGCCACCAGAGGACAAGCTTTCTGTATTGAATGCTGACTTAACTGGAACTTGCTTTCTGGTCCAGAATGTGAGTTTATCGCGGTGAAGGCCCCGGATGCTGCTGGAGAGGACACAGGATGCTGCCGGAGGGGACACAATGCTGCTGAGACAGCTGTACAGATGTCTGTTATCACAGTCCTTCCCTCCCAGCCCACATTCCCAGCTTTCTTCTGCAGACAAAATGACCACGGCAGTTGCTTTGTGCTTTTCCAGAAACTTCCTATGCAAACATGGACTTCAAGCTACACTTCCATTTAAGAAAACTCCGGAGACACATTTCACGCATAGCTTTTTTTCCCCACGTGGGTGAGGTGAGACACAATCTCACTCTGTGGTTCAGCCTGGCCTGGAACTCAGCATGTAACTTAGGTCAGACTTGAACTCATGACAATCCTGTCTCAGCTGAGATCTCAGGTGTAAGTGAGACACTGTGCCTGGATTTTCACATGTGGTTCTTTTACATCTCTCTGCCTAGAATAGCAGTTCAAAGAGGGCCGCTTAGACAGACATCACTGCATCTTTTTCAGAGCTGCATAGTATGCCACAGGTGGATACATCACCTTTTCCTAACTTGGGTCCTGTTAAGCACTACCATGGTGTGTCTAGTCTTTTGCTCTGACATTAACTGCTATAAAGATTGTTTTTCTTAAGTGTTTGTATTCATGTGAAAGTTGTCTTTAGAATAAATTCTCAGGTGTAGAATAGTTGGGTTAAAGGGTGCATGCCTTCCTGTGTTTGTTAGGTGTTATCTGATTACACAGAAAAACCCTAGACCTCTTCTTGAGAGTTTGAGAAGTTGAAAACAACCTTACAACTTCTTTTGGGTAGTTTGTAGCAATTAAACAACGGAAAGGAGTTCTTAAGCAGTGACCGCTGGTGGCTGTTCTCTTGGGCCTGGACAGGTGTTCAGACTGCGCCTGCTCAGCAGGCTGCCCAGCGTCCTCTGCACAGATGTTCATGCCTGTCAGAGCAGTGTGTCTTTCAGTGTGTCGGGTGTGGGGTGGGGGCTGGGGGGAAAAAAGTTGGAGACCATCACCGACAAGGCTGAGAGCCAGTGGGATCTGTCAGTCAAACCACTGGAGACACCAGGCACCCTAGACTGTCATGAAAGTGAAGTTTTGTGGAACACACTAAATGTCTGAATGTGTGCACATATGTGTGTACATGTATGTGTGTGCACATAAGCGAAATGCTCTTCTTGTGCAAACAGACACTGGGGAAAAGAGAGTAGGCACCTCAATTAGAGGTGACAGTCATTACTGTCATTAGACTAAAAACTTTTTAAGATTTTTGTGTGTGTGAGTGTTAGCCTGTGTGTTTATCTGTGCATCACATGTATGTCTAGTGCCCTTGGAGGTCAGAAGAGGGCATCAGATCCCCTGGGACTAAAGTTAGTAATGGCTGTGAGCCACAATTTGGGTGGTGGGGACTGAACCTGGGTCCCCTGGAAGAGCAACCAGTGCTCTTAACCACTGATCATCCCTCCAGTCCTGTGATGCCATTACATCTTATATGAGCTTGTGAGACACAGTAAAAGCCACCCAACCACTTATTTTCTATTTATTATTTTTACCTAAGGCCATTTAATTATTATTTATGATAATTTATTATGCCTGAGGCCAAGGGATATATGAGGAATGGGGGACAATGAAGGGACACTTCAGAGACACAAGTCCCCTGTTGGCCCCCATGGGGTCCAAGGTTACGGCCCTCAGGAAGGGCACCACACGCGTCAGGTACGCCCTTGGGCCCATCTTCCTGCCAGTAGCTCCTATCCATCCCAATTCCCCATCAGCCATTGTTTCCAGTGCACAGAGGCTGCATTCGGAGAAGCCAGATGCCAAAGACGTCCAAGATCAGGGAGGGAAGCTCACTGGGCTCTGTGACTTGGAAATGCTTGACCAGGCGTCTCTGTTCGTCTTTGGGACAGGGACGACTCCTCAGGGAAGGAATGCGCCCATCTAGACCCACAGCCACACCAAGAGCCCTGGGAGAGAGGGGGCAGGGTTCCCCACTGCTTCTTTCTCACCCCTTAACTAGCAAGCGATAGGCAGTGAGGAGTGTCCACTCCTCATCCCACTACCGAGTGGGCTTCCACCAACCCTGAGGACACCAGCAGATTCAGAAAAGAGGCAGAGGGATAAATTTAAGGCTGAGCGTGGAGGCAGGAACATGGGGAATTCAAGGTCATCCTTGGCTACACACTGAGTTCAAGGACAGTCTGTGCTACACGAGATCCTGTCTCAAATAAGACAAAACAACCAAAGAGCAAGACTCAATGCTGGGCACACCTGTGACCCCAGCACCTGTGAGACACCTGTGACCCCAGCACCTGTGAGACACCTGTGACCCCAGCACCTGTGAGACACCTGGTTTGAATAGCTTAGCAACCCAAGGCCACTCCTGCCCTGAGCTATACACATGCTCCTTACCACACAAAGCAACCTGTCACTCCACCTCAAAACCCCCACTAACTCCCTTTTGTGGCCCAACACATCCTTGAACTGGGGGCAGGGGGCTGCTCCAACCTGAACTGGTTTTGGTAGTTGCGCAATAAGGCAAACTGTCCTCTGAGTGACCTTTTTGATGAAAATCTTCCATTTACCATCTTATGCCTATGCATGATTGGGCATGCATATGATTAAGCCAGATGCATCATGGGAAAGGATATCTGCAGCAAACCAAGGTTTATATAATTCAGGCCTGTCAGTCAAAACAGAGAATCACTCACATTCTGGCCCTAGCAACTAACTCTTCCTCCTGGACCCACAAAAGGAAACTCTAGAAGTAACCCAAGGGGCCTGGGCAGGACGACGATGGGGAGGGGGCGGGGCAGGACGACGATGGGGAGGGGGCGGGGCGGGCCGACGATGGGGAGGGGGCGGGGCGGGCCGACGATGGGGAGGGGGCGGGGCGGGCCGACGATGGGGAGGGGGCGGGGCGGGCCGACGATGGGGAGGGGGCGCGACAGGACTCTTGATCAACCTTGCTGGAGCCCAGCAGTGCCCTGCAGTCTTTCCACTCTGGGCTTTTGCTTTGCCCCTGAATAAAACCCCTATGGCTTGGCTGTTTCTGTGCACTTCATGAATTCTATGAAGATGACACCAAGAATCTGGAAACATCTGGTCCAGACAGCAACTCTGGTAATAGTTGGGAGGCTGCCGCAGGAGGATTGCTAGTTTGAAACCACCCTGGGCTGTATAGCTCATAGCTGAGCTCAGGTCAAGGGTAAGGGTGTCTCCCCTGCCTTCTGGCTTTGGGGTTCTGGGTTTCCTCGCCCCTCCCCCTTCCTGTTAGTCTATTGGTTCTGGTAGAGTTGACCCAATTCTAGCTCCGGCTGTGGGCTATGACCCAGACCCATATCTTCCGTCCAACACTGTACCTAAGCCGCAGAGCCTGGCTGCAGGGTGGCCGGGTGACTAAGCTGGTCAATGAGAGCGCTCTGGCGGAAGTGTCCGGAAGGAAGAGGTGTCTTTGTGGTGGTATAGTAGGCAAGACGAAGTCCTGAGATGACAGGCCAAGGCTCAGCAATTTGTCGGAACCCCTGAAGTTATGCTGACCCCCAACACTGTGGTTACACCTACCTAACAAGTGTTTATTCTTGTCTTCTGGGGCCTAAGTCCTATAGGGTTCCCTAAAACCGTGGTGCCTCAGAGATGAATGTGTCCCAGGGCCGTGTAAGGGCTCTACAAAGCTGAGGCCTGTAAGTCTGGCAGTCGTTCTGAGAGAACAGACACCAGAGGGCCTCTGGTTTGCTCCTAGGCATACTTTTCCTATTATCGTGTGTGTGCGCGCGCGCGCGCGTGTGTGTGTGTGTGTGTGTGTGTGTGCGTGCGTGCGTGCGTGCGTGTGTGTGTGTGTGCGTGCGTGTGTGTGTGCGTGCGTGCGTGCGTGTGTGTGTGTGTGCGTGCGTGCGTGTGTGTGTGTGTGTGTGTGTGTGTGTGTGTGTGTGTGTGTGTGGTGCCTGCAGAGTCCAGAAGATGGTGTCAGGTCTCCTGGGGCAGGGATTACAGGCAATTGGGAGCCATCCTAGGCAGGCACTGAGAACAAACTCAGCCCTCTGCAAGAACATCAAATGCTCCTCTCCGCTGAGCTCTAGTTCACCCGCCCCCACCAGCCCTGCCCGCTGTGTGCTTTAGAACTGTGCATGGCCAATGAGTAGCTGGGCACAGAAGATGAAGCCCTGAGGGCCTGGGTTCGAGTCTCAGCACCATGGTTACTAGTCAGTGACTTGTTCCTTGGATTTGTACTGCTCTGTGTGGAAGGCGGTGGGGCTGAGGATTGTGGCGATTTACTACAGTTTCTAACTGTATCCAGTGACCATTTGATCCCAGTCCACAAAGATCAAATGGACAGTGCCCGGGGCTGTAGAGATGGCTCAGTGGCTAAATGCACTTGCTGTTCTCACAGAGATGCCGGCATCAGTTCCCAGCACACACGGTGCATCACAACCATCACAACTCCAGATTCATGCCAGCAAAACATACATGCTTGCAAAAAATAAAAATAAATCAGTGTTTAAAAAAACTCCAGAGCCCTTTATAGTTGTTCAAAGTAAGGGATGCCTGGAAAACAGCAGGAGCTTAATAAATGAGCTTTACCAAGGGCAGAGAGGTGATGGCAGAAGACTGTGCAAGTGTATGCTCCTTTTGGACCACGGCTCACAAATCTCCTTCACACGGGAGCTCAGACCACAGGTGCGAATGAGAGCAAAGGCAAGGGGACTTACCGGCTAGTGACTCAGAAGTCTGGTTGGGAACATTGTGAGGAGCCTCCTGGAGGACGTAGGTGGACGTGGAGAGGGGCGAGGAGCAGAGGCTGCTGGCGGGGACGTAGGGAGGGTTGTAGGGTGGGCTGAAATACTGGGGGTACTGGTTCTGTGGGAAGCCGGGGTACGAGGGGTAATCCTGGCAAGAGAAAAACAGACAGGGGTTGAGTGAGGAGGTGCCAGGCCCAGCAGGCCCGCTTTCTCTTCGGAGTAAAGACTGACCATCCAGACCATTGCCCTTTGGTTTTCCCATAAATGGGGTCTGACCCCAGAGCCAACGCAGTCAGTGCAGGCTGACAGCGGAGGAGACACAAGGGGAAGGAGGCATGAGGCCACAGAGTGGAAACGGGTGGCCCTGTGATGGCCGTCACAGGAGTGGGCAGGATGACCAGGGTGGGAACACTGAGTCTAGCCGTCTCTAGAGTAGCTCTCGGGGCTGGGGGTGGGCATGCGGGATGGAGAGGGGAACTCCCTGACACTTCCTGCCTGCCCTACACACTTCAGGATTGAAGATGGAAGTTGCTTGATGACCCTGAAGAACAGGGGTGTGGCCTTAGCAGTCTCCTAGCCAATGCTGTGTCTCCACGAGGACCGAACCTAGCACTCACAATATCTTCAAAGATGTGTGTGAACAATGAAGGAGGCACAGACCCGGGGTGGGGAACATTTCAGGGAACAAGCTGCAAATGTAGCAGCTCCTACAATACTGAGGGTCTAGAATATTCCTCAGTAGGAAATGACAGTCATCCCGCATCAAGTTCAACAGGGTGGTTCTCCCCCATCGCCAGCCAGCATTGTTTCCAACACTCAGTTCATAGTCACTGTCGTCATCCTCATCACCTCTGCCACTACCACCATCATAACTACCACCACCACCATCACCATCTCCATCACCATAGCCACCAAGACCACAGTAACTATACCCCCACCATGATCACCATCACCACCATCATCTCCATCCCCACCATTACCATCTCCCCTACCACCATCACCATCTCTATCATCACCACCAAGACTACAGTGACTCCCACCCCCACCATGATCACCACCACCACCATCATCTCCATCCCCATCATTACCATCTCCCCTACCACCATCACCATCTCCATCATCACCACCAAGACCACAGTGACTCCCACCCCCACCACCACTATCACCACCCACTCCCCTGCAACCATCACCATCACCATCACCAGCTACCACCACTGGCATGATCACCATCAGCACCACCAGCACCATCCCCATCACCACTCTCACCACCATCATTACCATCAGTAATCACCACCAGCCAGTGATTTACCCACAAGGATCTCAGAGAAAGTTCTATGCCTTGGGCCCCAGCTCATATCTGCTAAGTCAGAATTTCTGGGGAGTCTGAATTTATGAAAGGTATTAGAGTGAAACAGATACCTAGACTTAAGAACTGCTTCTTGCACTTCTCTGTGTTAGAAACACATGGGCCTTTGGTTTTGAAAGAATTTTAGATTTACAGGAAGTATACATAAGAGGGTCCTTTATCAACCCTGCCCCCAAGTCCTGAAGATGAGACCCATGGCCTCAAACATGCTGGCAGAGCTATACACTCTACTCCCAGTAGGCTAATTCTTTTCTTTTTAAAAATGATTTATTTATTCTTATGTGCATTGGTGTTTTATCTGCGTGTATGTCTGTGTAAGGGCGTTGGATCCCCTGGAACTGGAGTTACAGACAGTTGTGAGCTGCTGGGAATCGAACCAGGGTCCTCTGAAAGAGCAGCCTGTGCTCTTAACCACTGAGCTATCTCTCCAGTCTCTGTCCATATAGGTGTGTGCCACATGCATGCAGGTGCCCACAGAGACCAGAAGGTGGTGCCAGGTCCCCCAGAGCGATAGCTACAGGCAACTATAAGCCACCTGAGGTGGGCCCTGAGAACCAAACTCCAGTCTTCTGCTATTCTTAATCACTGAGCCAACCTACCCGCCCCCAGACAATGTTTTCTTTTGGCTGTCTGAGACAAGGTCTCATGTAGCTCAGGCTGGCCTTGAACCCTTGTCCTCAGGCCTCCTCCTCATGATTGCTGGACTGCAGGTGTGCACCACCACACCCAGTTCTTTTCTAGACTTAGCAGACTGCAGGGAAACCGAGTGACTTATACAGCGGCCAGCGTCCCATGAAGCAATGCTGAATCCCCCACGGATGCAGAGGAAGCAGATGCGTTTTCCCCTTGAGAGGCTCACAGTCCTGAGAAAACACACACAGCACTCACAGCCCACATTCAAGCGCTCCTAGATGCTTCGGCCTCAGGTAAGATCGGACCTGACAGCTTGGGGACTTGTAATTTTATTTCTAGTGGCCTTTTGTACAATCTGGCCCCTGGAGTCCCCACACCCAGGCAGGGCTAAGAGGCCATGTTTCTGGTGGGGACTGTGTATGTGAGGCGGCTCTGTTGTGGACCTTGAGCTAAGGGGAACACTGAAAGAAAGAATCGAGAAGAGAATTGGCAGGCGCTGTGTCTACCTGGTGCATGCTCCCAAATCCGGTTGTGTTGGTCAATCCGTTGGTGCCTTGGTAGAGCCCTGTGGTGCCTGCAGGAGGACAGGACAGGTTAGAACTCCATCAGGGAGGGCTTGGGGGAGGAGGAGCAAAGGATGTGGTTCTCAGGCCTGGGGTGGGGGGCAGGACCTGTGACTGGAGCCGACTCCCTGGCCTCGGTTTCTTTGGTAAACAGGAAAAGAATGCATTCTGAGCCAAGCAGTGGTGGTGCACACCTTTAATCCCAGCACTAGGGACACAGAGGCAGGTGGATCTCTGTGAGTTCGAGGCCAGCCTGGTCTACAAAGTGAGTTCCAGGACAGTCATGGCTATTACACAGAGAAAACCTGTCTCAAAATACCTAAAAAAAAAAAAAAAGAATTCTGAAGGGTTAGGGAGAGCAAAGGTGACCCTGCTCACAGTGGTGTCAGCGCCGCCTACTGTGATTTCCGAAACAGTTTTGTTCCTGTGCACAGTGTCAGGCTTGGTGGTAAGTGATTTTACCCGCTGAGCCATCTTACTGACGTTGGTAATGTTTTTTTGTTTTGTTTTAGATAGGTTTTCTCTGTGTAGCCCGACTGTCCTGGAACTTAATTTATAGATCAGGCTGGCCTTGGACTCACAGAGATTCTCTTGCTTCTGCCTCCTAAGTGCCAGAATCATGCTCAGTCCAAAACCATTTATTTTTCTAAACTGTGGTAAAAATTATGGAACATAATACTGCTTGATCCAGTTTAAAGTGTACACTAAGGGGCATTAAATGCATTTATAGTGTGTGTCACCATCATAACATCTATCACTAAGACTTTTCTAGAACATTCTGAAAAAATCTCCAGAATCTTGTAAAACTAGAACCCTGTATGCAATCATTGCACAGGCCCGGTAACTGCTATTCTCCTTGTCTATATGGATTCAGTTAGTTCAGGAATCTCATACGAGTAGAATTATCTAGTATTTGTCTTCTTGTGATGGCCTCTCACTTGCTTCTCAGGTCAGTCTTGAGAAGGTATGATCACCAGTCTCATTTACTCTGTGGAGAGGTGCAGGCCGAGGACTGTGGCTTGTGCGGGGTCACAGGGCTGGCAGGCTATGAACTCCCAAGAGTCTTTATGCATTCACAAGTTCAAGCAAACAGGCCCTGTGGTGCAGGGCACAATCCGAAGTGTCACAGGTGTCTCACGGGGGCCATCAGAGGCCAGGGTGGCACAACATTTTCACAAAAAACCTGCCAGCTCAGATATCTATGTCCAGAGACCCTGACCTCAGGCATACAGGAGAAACAGGCATGCATAAGCTGTGGGGAACCCCAACTCTGTTCTGGAAGTTCTACCTCAAGAGCCTGAATGGGGGCTGGAGGGCTAAGGGCAAGGGACAATTAGTGACAATAAGAAGGAAGGGAATCAAAATGTGCTGTGTGAAGCAATTTCCAATGCCCCCATCCCAGGTTCTGATAGCCACCGGGCAGCACAGTGGGTCCCTGTCCACCCGTTACCGGCCGTTAGCAGCTACTTTAGAAATGGGTTTCCTAACTGTGTGACTTGTGCGCCTCCAAGTCAAGCCTGCCAAATAGACTCTACGCCCATCTCAGATCAACACTAGGAAAGAGGAGCTTCTAGTATGGGTAACAAAGTCAGGGTTTAAACTTGAAGTAAGGAGCACACAGATCTCTGTGAGTTCGAGGCCAGCCTGGTCTACAAACCAGGTTCCAGGACAGCCATGGCTAGCCAACATGATGAAACCCTGTTTCAGAAAAGCGGCAACAAAATAAAAACAAACAAACAAAAACTTGAAGTTTGGAACGCTGAGGAGGTAAATGAGAGCTAGGCTCTGGGAAGGATAACAGGGCCAGTACCCTCAGGACTGCCTGGCTCCCGTAGAGGCCCCTCGGGAACACGCTCTGAGAGCCACACACAAGGCACTGCTGCCTTTTCCCACAGAACACTTTATGTGGAGTTGCATCCAACACAACATGGTAACAGACTGAATTGTGGGTGAGCACAGTTCGAATAAAGCTTCATCCTATTCCAGGAAGGAGACCACCCAAGACCAACCCAGGGGAGGGGAGGGGCATAGCAGCAAACCCAAGGCCAGACACTGGAGGCAGAGCCCTGGCCTCTGCCACAGGCTCTGCCTGCCCTTCTGGGGGCGTGAGCTAGCTTTCTGATTCTGTGTTCTCTCCTGTAGAAATAACTGTGCCTACCTGCTCCACACCCACGCCCAGTGTGAACTCTGAACCAATCGAGGTAGGAGGAGGTGTCTCTCATCTCTAACACAGTCCCCAGGGCTTTGGGGACTCAGAGAAGTCCTGAATGGTGACTGGGGAAAGGGTGGGGTCAGGGAAGGCTTCATCTGAACTGACGTCCAAAGGAGGAGGAGGAAGTATCCGGACAAAGAAAACCAGAGGCAGGAACTGGACCCCACTGGGCGGCTCTCCCGACTTCCATTACACAGTGGGTCCTTAACCCTAAAGCGCACACACGTCCATCCCAATGAGACCCTCTAGGTCCACTCTGGCTCACTGGGACCCCGCTCGTCCCTAAGACAGGCCTGCACACATGGATCGGAAGGAGGTCTGGGTGGCAAGTCTAGGCTAGCCCATTCCACTCAAGGTCATCTCTATGGTCCTGGTTACCATGGAGAGAGTCTACCTGACCCAGAACAACTCCTGGCTGTGGTATTTCCTTCCCCCTGCTCTTTTGTGCGAAATTAAGGAAGAATGACTTGAGGAAGGATGGCCACAGCCAGTCCCTGGCCCTTTCTCAAAACAGTTTTTTGTTGACTTTCATTCTGTGATGTCCCTTCTCACAGTGAGGGACTCTCTTGGGCCAGAGCGGGCCCGGAGAGAAGGGGTATGAAGTCTTGAACCACAGTACCTGGGGCCTGCAGAGGTTTCGCAGCCTTACCTTGGTGGCTGAATGTTAGGCACGGACCTTGCTGGCTGGGGTAATGTATTGTGAGAGGCGGGAGGGCTGGCAGCCATGGGTGCTGCTGGAACCCTCTCCAATGTCTCCACCCTGCCCCAGAGACAGAATGCACTAAGCTGGGCATGGGCTAATGAGAGGGAGTTCTGCAACCCCCAGCCTCTCTTGTGGCTCGATGTGGCGACATGACAGGGTATAGACAAGGGGAGAGACAGGATGGGCAGGTTGAACTTCCTGCTTGTGCTTTTACAGGGCAGGCCGGGCCACTCTTCTTTTGGAATGCAGCCATCGTGGATCACTGGGTTGACCAACAGGCAGAGGGAGATGAGGCCTTGTCACACAGAGAGATTGCCACACTTTGTACACTGTGTGTGTGTGTGTGTGTGTGTGTGTGTGTGTGTGTGTGTGTGCGCGCGCATGAAGGCCAGAGGTTGTCATCAAGGTCTTCCTCAGTCACTCTCCACCTTAGTCTTAGAGGCAGGTTTTGCATTGAACCTGGGGCTCTAAACTGACTAGCCGTCAAGCCCAGGGATCATGCTGTCTCGTCTCCCCCAGTGCTGGGTTACAGATATGTTCTCCCATGCATGTTTTTTATAGAGGAGCTAGCAAACGGAACTCAGGTCCTCATGCCACCTTGCATGGAGGTGCTAAGGAGATAATTCATTCTGTGGTCTTTTTTTCTTATTTCACCCTTCTTTTCATTTATTTATTTCCTCCCAGTTCCCATCCATCCTAGGCAATAACTGTGTGGTGTGCGGAACTGTTTTACTCTGTGTTTTTTTACCTTTGTTTTTCTAGTACTACCAGGAAACACTGGAGGAGGTTAACTAGATAAAGAAAAGAGGTTTGACTAAAATCTTAGGCCAAAGTGCAAGATCAGGCCACCAGATGAATGAGGAAGGCCCTCTTGACAGATGCCATCATGGCTGAGTGTGTGTGTATGTGTGTGTGTGTGTGTGTGTGTGTGTTTAAATTAAAGATTTCATCACCAGGCAGAGAACTGGATGGCCCATGCTTGCTCTTGTATGACTGTTTTATAGCTAGTTAATCCAAGGATCCCATGAGAACTGTCTTCTGAGGGCAGAGTTCCTATGCCCTAACGACCTCCCAACACCAGCACCCTGAGGAGCAACATGGGAATCCTTTGGGGGACAAACTACATCCGGGCCACAGGGGGTACATGCTCCTGTTCACACAGGGTACACACAGGTACTCGGGTAACAGGTGTCAGGTCGGTAAGGTCTGGTGAATGTTGTGAGTCTCCCATGTTTCACATGCCGTCAAATGGTTCTGACCTCTTCAATGCTGAGAGTATGATCTATCGTCTGGTCCTCTGCTGTGTGCCCCCTCACATTGGTCCTAACTGCCCAGGAGGACATGGGTGCGAAGCCCCTAACAAGACTGTGTGCCCTCCTCACACTCATCTCCTATGGTTCCTGGATGCCTTGGAGGAGACCAGGAAGGGCTGCCTGGTGTAAGGGTGTCAGGTGTAAGGGTGTCTGGTGTAAGGGTGTCTGGTGTAAGGGTGCCTGGTGTAAGGCTGCCTGTCTGGTGTAAGGGTGTCTGGTGTAAGGGTGTCTGGTGTAAGGGTGTAAGGCTGCCTGGTGTAAGGGTGTCTGCTGTAAGGGTGCCTGGTGTAAGGGTGTCTGGTGTAAGGGTGTCTGGTGTAAGGCTGCCTGGTGTAAGGGTGTCTGGTGTAAGGGTGTCTGGTGTCAGGGTGTAAGGGTGTCTGGTGTCAGGGTGTCTGGTGTCAGGGTGTCAGGTGTAAGGGTGTAAGGCTGCCTGGTGTAAGGGTGTCTGGTGTAAGGGTGTCTGTCTGGTGTAAGGGTGTCTGGTGTAAGGGTGTAAGGGTGTCTGGTGTAAGGGTGCCTGGTGTAAGGGTGCCTGGTGTAAGGGTGCCTGGTGCCTGGTGTAAGGGTGTCTGGTGTAAGGGTGTAAGGGTGTCTGGAGTCAGGGTGTCTGGTGTAAGGGTGTCTGGTGTAAGGGTGTAAGGGTGTCTGGTGTCAGGGTGTCTGGTGTAAGGGTGTCTGGTGTAAGGGTGTAAGGGTGTCTGGTGTAAGGGTGTCTGGTGTAAGGGTGTAAGGGTGTCTGATGTAAGGGTGTAAGGGTGTCTGGTGTAAGGGTGTAAGGGT